ATCTGCTCATTTTTAAATTGAATTGTTAATCTTTTTGTTGTTGAGCTGTTGGAGTTTACTATAAATTTTAGAGATAAGTCCTTTGTCGGATATGTTGTTTCCGAATATTTTTTCACAATCTGTAGGTTCTCATTTTACTCTTTTGGCAGTGTAATTATCAACAAGTATGAATTTGTTGCTGTCATTTTGTTACTTACTTTTTTGTGGTGTTGCTGATTTCTTTGTTCCATATAATTTTCTGTTCCGAGCTTATTTTGTTTATGAATTGTATTATCACTTTATTCTTTGCTATTGTTTTAGTATTTGCTAAATATTTGTGCTGGTCCTTCTTTTTATTTTAATGTGAAGGTCTATCACTTTTCTTTGAGGTTGCCCTGTGATTTATAATTTTCTTTTCAATTTAGAACAGTCTGTTCTATCTTGCAGTTGTCTTGACTTCCCTACTGTGGTAGTTAAATTTGTGTGTCAATTTGGGTGGGCCTGGTTGAGTTGCTGGGCAGCTGCTGGTGGTAGTTATTCCCTATGATGATACTGGCAATCAACTCCATGGTAGTATCTCCCACAAGCAGCTGATTAGCTGCCTTTGGGATGTGGTCTACTTTCTGTATCTAAGGAGAAGCCTTGGGGATAGTCTCTGGCTTATGGCCCACTTGGACCCTGCATGTGGCCATGTCATTGTTCAGCAGCCTGCCATGCTCTGCCGACCTTGGGACTTACAGTGGACTTGAATTAATGGCCTGCCATGTGGTTTGGTAACATTGGGACTGTACCATTTTATTTGCTTGTTAGCCTCAGCAGCCAGTAGCTGCATGAGTGAAGAGATGCCTCTAGCTTCAGTGGGCTGGGAGTGAGAGGCAGAGCTGAAGCCCCAGGTCAAGATGCTTTCACACAGCCCCTAGAGCCTGGAAGTTTGAACTCAGTCTTGTAGCCTCCCAAACTGTAAGAGAATAAACTCCTGTTTGTTAAAGTCATCCCATTTGTGGTATATGCTTGTCAGAGTGGCATAGGTAACCAGAACACCAACCATTTAGAAGTTCTGTAACTATACAATTTTTCCCCTTTTTGCTTTGTAGTTGTCCTCATTTCCCAATTGATGTCTCTGATTCCCTGTAACAGGGAATCTTGTAGGCTTATTTACTTTGGATACTTTATTTGGATACTTCCATAACTGGGTTGGTTTCTGGGTTATGTCATCATGTGTGTTAATGGTCAGTTGCTGTTTGCTGTTGTTGGTTCTCTGTCCAAAGGACTTCCTTTAGCATGTCTTATAAGGTTGGTCTGGTTTTAACAAATTCTGTTAATGTCTTCTTATCTTAATTTCACCATCATATTTGAGAGACAGTTTTGCTGGGTATATAATTCTTTGTTGGAAATTTTTCTCTTTCAGGGTTTTATATATACCATCCCATTGTCTTCTTGCCTGCGTGGTTTCTGCTGAGAAATCCAAGCTTAGTCTTGTTGGTTACCCCTTATAGGTAACTTTTTGTTTTTCCCATGCTGTTTTCAGGATTCTTTGTCTTTGGTTTTAGTGAGTTTGATGATGATGTCTTGGTGATTTTATTTTGAGGTTTCTTTGGACTTCTTGAGTGGATATATTCTCATCTTTCATCATACCAGGAAGATTCTTTTCTGACAAATCTTTGGCAATTTTCTGTGTGGTTTCATTTGTCTCTTCCTGTTATAGAATTCTCATTACACGTAGATTAATCCTTTTGATCATATCCCACATCCCACATTATCCTTGGGAGCTCTGGTGGCATAATGCCTAAGGCACTTGACTGCTAACCAGAAGGTTGGCAGTTCAAACCCACCAGCCACTCCTCAGAAGGAAGATTGGGCAGTCTACTTCTGTAGTGATACTGCCTTGGAAATCCAAGGTTGGTGTCACTATGAGTCAGAGATGACTCGATGGCACATAACAACAACAACACATGATCCTTAGTCTTTCTTCATTTTGTTTTGATCTTTTTCTGATTGATCCCGTTTCCAAAAAAGTATTGAGGTATTCATCTTCAATCTCACTAATTCTGTCTTCCATTGATTAAATTTTATTCTTTGCTTGTTCAATGTGTTATCTATTTCTGAAAATTTAGTATTAATCTTCTGGACTTCTATCTGTAGATTTTGTATCATTTCTAATTTTTCATTTATTTTGTCATTTTGTTCTTGTATTGTCTTTCAAAATTGTTCTAGGGTTTTCTCTTGTGTTTTCCTTGATCTGTCTCTCAATCCACTGAAGGTACCTATATATAATTCTTTTGAATTCCTTATCAGGGAGTTCCAATGCTGCTTCTTCCTCAGGAATGTGTTCTAGGTCTGTATCCTGGTCCCTTGTTTCTTTTGCTTTATCTTGCTTCTTTTTCTGGACTGTGATGCTCTGTTGTCTCTGAGACAATGTGTTTTTGTGTTTATATTTAATTGGTGATTGTATGTTGGAGTGACTTGCCTATGATTTTTGTTTTCTTTGGATGTTATCTACATAAACAGGGTACTGTGCTCCTCTGTTCAGAAGGTGGCAGCACTTATACATTCACCACCTGTCTCCTTTCCTGTTGTCAGCCTCCCATATGTCCCTGCCATCCTTGGCAAATGGAGCCAATTCTTTGGTCCCTGGAATCCAAATGAGGATGCTGTCACTTTATATTTAATCAAAAATGTCCACTGCTCGTAAATGGCTCAATCAAATAGTCAATCAAAATGGCTGTGCCTTCCAGACAGTTGAAAGTCCACAGCTCAGGTTGTCTCCCTCCTTGCTGTTTCCCTTCCTACTCATAGGCCACCAGCGCAGTCGTTCCTGCAGCTCTTGGAGACCAGGGATGATCTTTAGGTCAATTCTTAGGTCCCAATACCACTTGGAAATATTCAGGCTGTTGGTGCTGTCAGAGTAGCTGATGGTCTGCAGGTCTGTCCATCTCTGTACTCACTGTCGTCATTGATGTTTTTTCACTAGTTGGTGCCTAATCCGCTTCTGTATACTTCTTTTCAAAGCTCAGGGCTCCAGGATTATCTTCTGTATGTCTGTCAATTGGTTTTTCTTTTCTTTGTTGAAGAGGATCTGTGTAGCTTCTCTGCCTATTCCACCATCTTACTGGAATTCCCCTATATGCGTAATTTTTTGAGTAACCAGCCAATTATTTTTCATAGCATCTGTACCATTGTACATTCTCACCAGCAATGGATGAATATTCTAATTTCTCCAAATCCTCACTGACTTGTTATTTATTATATTATTTTTTCTGATAATAGACATCCTTTTGGTTTGAGTGTGGGCAGAGTGGTATTTTATTGTGGGTTTGATTTGCATTTTTCCCCAATGATGTTGAACATCTTTCGATGTGCTTATTTGCCAGTTGCCTATTTTTTACTGGGTTGTTTGTCCTTGTGTTGTTGAATTGTAGGAATTCTTTATATATTTTGATATTAAACCCTTATCACATATATGGTTCCCAATACATTCTCCCATTCTATAGGTTGTCTCTTCACTTTCTTGATAAAGCCCTTTGATGTACAATATTTTTTTCATTTTAACAAACTTCTTTTTATTTTTTATTTTTTTACCATTAAAAAATGAAAATGTTGGAAACATTCTTAGATTGCAGGCTGTTCAAATAATGGGTGGTGGGCAGGAATTATCCCATGGTATATAGTTTGTCAAACCCTGCTAAAACAAATGTTTATAGGGACATAAACCTCTGGAACTGTTTTCCAAAATGGGTGTTTAAAATAATCCCAAGGAAAAATTAAACGTGGTTAAATAAATGTGACACCCTTCATACCCTGAAGGCTGAAATGCTTGTGAGCAAAGGACATGGACAGACAAGTCAAATTTCAATTAATTTGAAATTACCTCAGAATACCTCTCACTCCAGGCAGGGCTTCCCAAGTATGTGCTGAGTTTTCATTTCCTGGGCCTGGGGTGTGGCCAAAGCCTCCAGGCCAGTGGCTTATGCTCCCAGAATTCTACCCCATTACTGAAGCGTAATTATTATTTTCAATGTGTGTGATGATGTAAACAAGTTAGTAAACAGTGCTCTAGGCAAAACATGGTCTTACATTTTAAAAATACATGGTATGTAAAGATAACTATGGAAAACAAACAAAATAGTTGTCATCTTTGGGAAAATCCTAGTGGTTGTCTTCGTAGAAGGGGTTCCTGCGTACTGCAAACAGTTATGTACTCTTCTGCTAACCAAAAGGCTGGTGGCTCAAACCCACTCAGAGGTTCCTCAGAAGAAAGGCTTGGTGATCTGCTTCCAAAAGGTCACAGCACTGAGAACCCTACAGAGCACAGTTTTACTCTGCACACATGGTGTCACCATGAGTCAGTAGATTTGACAGCAATTGGTTTGGTTTGATCCTAGTGGAGTCCTTCCGCCTTTTTTCCTCTCTGACACTTCTGATGAGTATGATCATGACCTGATGCGCTGTTGGTGAGGGCCTCCTGTAATGCCCAAGAGCTGGCTCAACTTTGTTGTCTCCCACTCAAGCCTATTGGAAAAGAAGGGAGAGTAACATTTTTGGATATGATCTTGAGTTCCCTCTAATTTACTGAGAAGTAAATCATCAAAAAGCTGAGTATATTCATTGTCTGTAGAACAAAGTCCTGACCTACGTTGTAACTGACTTCAAATTGGAAACCACTGCCCTCAAAGAGTAAGTACATTTTCATATAGTGGCTAGCTCAGTACAAATGAATTTCAAACCACCAAATAAGAGGTAGATTTTTTTTTCAGTATGCGTGACAAGAAATAATAATGTTAATAGTATTATATGATTATACAAATAAGAACTTTATCAAGCTTAATTTTCATTTCAGGGATAACATATATTGTTGTGTTGTGTCCTGGTGGGTCTGATGATGTTGGTAATGATGTCTGTTTTTATGTTTTCTGGAAAAGTAACTGAATTAATATGTCAGTGTAGTACTATCTGAAGTAATCTAAAAGCTGTTGAAATGCTTAAAAATAAAATGATCACTCCTTCTCTTGTTCTCCTGACAGGATAATTGAAGCTATCTGCATAGGCTGGTTCACTGCAGAGTGCATCGTGAGGTTCATCGTCTCCAAAAACAAGTGTGAGTTTGTCAAGAGACCCCTGAACATCATTGATTTACTGGCAATCACACCGTATTACATCTCCGTGTTAATGACAGTGTTTACAGGCGAGAACTCTCAACTCCAGAGGGCTGGAGTCACCTTGAGGGTGCTTAGAATGATGAGGATTTTTTGGGTGATTAAGCTTGCCCGTCACTTCATTGGTCTTCAGACACTGGGTTTGACTCTCAAAAGATGTTACCGAGAGATGGTTATGTTACTTGTCTTCATTTGTGTTGCCATGGCAATCTTTAGTGCACTTTCTCAGCTTCTTGAACATGGGTTGGACCTGGAAACATCCAACAAGGACTTCGCCAGCATCCCCGCTGCCTGCTGGTGGGTGATTATCTCTATGACTACAGTTGGCTATGGAGATATGTATCCTATCACAGTGCCTGGAAGAATTCTTGGAGGAGTTTGTGTTGTCAGTGGAATTGTTCTATTGGCATTACCTATCACTTTTATATACCATAGCTTTGTGCAATGTTATCATGAGCTTAAGTTTAGATCAGCTAGGTATAGTAGGAGCCTCTCCACTGAGTTCCTGAATTAATGCATTGCAAATCAACTCTTGCATTCACTCCATTTGGTAAAAAGAATTGACATTAGTTCATATTCATGCATTTTTTGCAGGGGGAGCACTACAGTAGTATTGTCATCATCTTGATAGAGTAAAAATTATTCTTCCTAACCGAATGGATGAAACAGTATATTTATTGTGGAGTAAATAGCATTGAGACTGCAAAGGAAAAGTAATGACTCCTAGAGTAAGTTTTAGGACCTTATTTTATTTAGATTTGTCCCCTCCTGGCCTTGAACAACTATACTTTTTTGTTTTCTTCAAGCACATTAATATTTTGAAATCAAAAAGTACTATTTTCCAAATGTTTTTCCATCTTACGAATTCAGAATAAGCTTGGAACTTACAGTGTTTTTTTTTTTGTTGTTGTTGTTGGAAAGTAACATTTCGATTTCTAAATGTTTTATAATATTTCATATCTATGTCAGAAGTTTCCCCAAAACATATGCCACATGCAGGAACTGTTTAACAAATACTTTTTAAAATTGGCCAAATCTTAAACTGTATAATGGAGCTAGATACAAGCAAGAGTAATACTTGAAAAACTTTTCAAGTATACTTCTCTACTCTCTGATTTATTTTTGTTCCTAATATTCACCTTGCACATGGCTTCATGGAAGTCTGTGCCTCTTCTCCTTTTTCCATTTTCGATGTCTCTTATCTCTTCACTGAACTCACTAAAAACAGCACTTAAGAATGAAGAGAACTTTTATTTAGCATTTTGTTGGATAATATTTGAATTCATTGCTGTGATTATACTAACATTCAGATGTCCACAAGAATATTTCCAACATAAAAAAATGTTGGTAGAAATAGTGTGATATTGTTCAATGTTACAACCCATATTTATGGGTTCTGCTCTTCACTTTTTTTTTTTTCCTTCTCAAACATTGTGGGTTTAATAAGACTTACCAGATGAAGGAATATTTAAGTAGCCTTTTTATACCAAGGTTATACTTAAATGTTGTCACTGGATTAGCATAAAAAAGAAATTAAGTATTTCTGCACTTCTGATTGTTGAATGGCTAAGCCAATTTAAAGCCAGCTAAAAGCAATGAATACATAATTTTTTTGATCTGATCTTCTTCATTGTGCATCACAGCTACACCAAAACTTCTTGTAAGGTTACTGATTAATATGCTATATTAATCTGGCCAGAATGGAATTAGATAATGTAAAAAACTGATCATTGTTTAGTGCTAAATTTTAGCAATATAAATTAGAATTTTCCTTTTTTAAACACTCTGCCGTAAAGAAGTCAGTGTATAAACAGAAAAAAATGAAGTCATAGACTTATGAATAATTTAATGAAGTGCACTGTAAAATATAAAACTTTAAAAAAGGAAACAAAGCAGTTTACTTAGGTGGGGACGTGGGGGTGGAGGGTAGCAGGGAGCCAGGGGATAGGACAGAGACGTGCATGTAATTACCAAGAAAGGGTTACCAGAAGTACTCATTAAAGGACTATGTGCCATCATCTAGTTCAAACCTCAGCTATTATGGTAGAAAGTTAGGGTAAGAGAGGTATGAAAACTCTGGTAAGAGTGGCGTGTGAAGGAGGTCAGGCTAAAACCTGGGACCTGGCCCAGCAGCTTGTTCTTGACACACCTCTGGGTTCCAGAAAGCCCAGGGAAACCACACTCCTCTGCCATTGCCATTGCCGTTGCTGAGGTAATTACAAAACTATTTTCCTTTTTCTTAATCTTGTTTCCCGAATCTATGTGATATTCTGGCCAGTAAAGATCTCACCTCGTCTTCCCTACTATGCCCATTGGTATGCTACTTTTTACATGCCCAAAATAAATTCTCTTATTTATTGTATACTGATTGTATTTTTATACAATTGAAATAAATGGCATAGAGTTATTTTTTCTTAATTATTTAAATTAAGGCTTTGTGATTGGTGCAAATAATATACAGATGATGGCATCTCCTTATTACTAATGAAAATATGATAACTTTCCATTTTATTGGCACTGGAAACTGCTAACCAGAAGGGTGACGGTTCAAACCCACCAGCCGCTCCTTGGAAGGAAGGTTGGGCAACCTACTTCCGTAGTGATACTGCCTCGGAAACCCAAGGAGGGGTCGCTGTGAGTCGGATCTGACTCGACAGCAGTGAGTTTGGTTTTTTTGGTTTGGGAACTCTTCATGTCAACATGTCTTATCTCCTCGAGTAAATTATAACTAACTTGAGGACTCTGACCTTCTGTCATACACACATCTTCATATCTTTAGTGCATGTTATAGTTTTGGGGCACAGACTCTTCTCTGATTTGAAGGGGAAAACTTCTGTGTAAAGAGGCTAGGAGAAGCATATACCTACATGTGTACCTGGGTAGCCATGCATGTGAATGTACATAGAGACTTTGAGACTGCCCTTACATGGTGTTGTTGTTAGGTGCTTTTGAGTGTGACCCATGTAAGACAGAACGAAACAGTGCACCATCCACACAGTCATTGTCATGTTTGAGCCCATTGTTGCAGGCACTGTGTCAATCCATCTCCTTAGGTCTGCTGCTTCCTTGCTGACCTTCTACTTTACCAGAGGAGCTCTCATGGCACAGGGGTTAAGGTATTTGGCTGCTAAACAAAAGGTCAGCAGTTTGAACCCACCAGCTGCTCTGCAGGAGAAAGATGAAGCCGTTTGCTTCTGTAAAGATTTACAGCCTATGGGGCAATTCTACTCTGTCCTACAGTATCTCTGTGAGGTGAAATCAACTCGTTGGCAGTGAGTTTGTGTTTGGTTTGGTTTCCACTTTACCAAGCATGATGTCCTTCTCTAAGGATTGGTCCCTCCTGATAACATGTCCCAGGTACGTGACATGAAGTCTCACCATCCTCATTTCTAAGGAGCATTCTGACTGGACTTCTTCCAAGACAGATTTGTTCATTCTTCTGGAGGTCTATGGTATATTCAGTATTCTTCCCCAACACCATAATTCAAATGCATTAACTCTTCTTTGGTCTTCCTTATTCATTGTCTAGCTTTACGCATGTATATGAAATGATTGAAAATATCACAGCTTGGGTCAGGTGCAACTTAGTCCTTAAGGTGACATCTTTGATTTTAACAGTTTAAAGGTCTTTTGCAGCAGATTTGCCCAATACAATATATCATTTGATTTCTTGACTGAAGATTCTATGAGTGTTGATTGAGAACCCAAGTCAAACGAAATCTCTGACAACTTCAGTCTTTCTCTGTTTACCATAATGTTGCTTATTAGTTCAGTTGTGAGGATTTTTGTTTTCTTTATGTTGAGGTGCAGTCCATACTGAGGGCTGTAGTCTTTGGTCTTTATCAGCTAGTGCTTTAACTTCTCTTTGCTTTTAGCTAGCAAGGTTGTGTCATCTGCAAATTGCATAAGAGTCTTCCTTCAATCTTGATGCTGCATTCTTCTTCATGCAGTCCAGTTTCTCAGATTATTTGCTTAGCCTACAGATTGAACAAATATTGTGAAAGGATACAACCATGACACACCTTTCATTATTTTAAATTATGCTGTATCCCTTTGTTCTGTTGGAACAACTGCCTCTAGATCTCTGTACAGGTTCTGCATGAGCACAATTAAGTGTTCTTGAATTCCTATCCTTTGCAATGTTATCCATAATTTGTTGTGATCCACACAGTTAAATGCCTTTGCATAGTCAGTAAAACACAGGTAAACATCTTTCTAGTATTTTCTGCTTTCATCCAAGATCCATCTGATGTCAGCAATGATATCCCTCATTCTACATCCTCTGAGGGAGTTCTGGTAGTGTAGTGCCTAAGGCACTTGACTGCTAACCAGAAGGCTGGTGGTTCAAACCCACCAGCTTCCCTTCCGAGGAGTGCCTCGGAAGGAAGATGAGGCAATCTACTTCCGTAATAATACTGCCTCAGAAACCCAAGGAGGGGTCGCTATGAGTCGGGTCCGACTCGACAGCATATAACAACAACACAACAACATCCTCTGAATCTGATTTGAATTGCTGCCAGTTCCCTGTCAATATAATACTGCAAAAATCTTTGAATTATTTTCATCAATATTTTACTTGTGTGTGATAGTAATGATATTGTTTGATAATTTCCACATTCTTTGGATCACCTTTCTTTGGAATGGGCACAAATATGGATCTCTTCCAGTTTTCTTAGGATAAACTAGTGAGTGTCTCCAGTGCAGCATCCATTTGTTGAAACACTTCAATGGGTATTCCATCAGTTCCTGGAGCCTTGTTTACTGCCAATGCCTTCAGTGCAGCTTGGACTTCTTCTTTCAGTACTGTCAGTTCTTGATCATATGCTACCTCCTGAAATGGTTGAACGTCAAATAGATCTTTTTGATACAGTGACTCTGTGTATTCCTTCCATCTTCTTTTGATGCTTTGTGTGTTGTTCAATTTTTTTGCCCATAGACTCTTTCAGTATTGCAACTCAAGGCTTGAATTTTTTCTTCAGTTCATTCAGCTTGAGAAATGCTGAGTGTGTTCTTCCCTTTTGTTTTTCTAATTCCATGTTTTTGCACATTTCATTATAACACTTTACTTTGTCTTCTTGAGCTGCCCTTTGAACTCTACTGTTCAGCTCTTTTACTTCATCATTTCTTCCATTTGCTTTAGATACTTCATGTTCAAGAACAACTTTCAGAGTCTCTTCTGACATCATTTTGGTCTTTTCTTTGTTTCCTATCTCTTTAATGACTTTTTACTTTATTCATGCGTGATGTCCTTGATGTTATACCATAACACATCTGGTCTTTGATTATTAGTCTTCAGTGCCTCAAATCTGTTCTTGAGATGGTCTCTAAATTATGTAACAAGTGAGAAACATTTTTGTTTTGTTTTGTGATGCCAGCCTTTTCATAGGACCAATTTTCATAATGGAGGATGATGGCTATATGCTAATGGAAAGTCAACTGTTCATTTGGTGAGGATTATGATGAGATATGATAGAGTAGTTCATTCATGAGTTAAAACCATTTATCAGAGTTGAACACCTGCACCAGGGAGATGCTTCCTTAGAACAATCAACCGTGGGA